GGTCAGGCGACCCCGAAGCCCAGAGACCGAGGAGGAGGGGTACAAGCGCCCCTGTCAAGAGCCCTCCCCACCGCTACAGCCCACCCCCTCGCACAGAGGGACCCAAGACTGAGACCGAGGGACACGCAGTTTGCCGGTCCAAGAGAAAACGCTGTGCCAGCTCCCTCTTATGCAGAGGCAGCCAGAGCGCCTACTCCACCGCCTGGAACATCGGCAGGGACGCCCAGGAATCCAGGAGCGCTGTCGCAAGCTACCGCAGCGCCCCCTCCCCCCCGCGAGGCGAAGAAACAGAGAGTCCCGCCGCTCATAGTGGAACATCTGCCGGATTGGGTGCGTCACTTTCGCACTCTGAAGGGCAGACTGAACTACGCCCCTAACGCGCGCCCCTACGGAAAAGGGGTGCGCTTTACGCCCAAGTCGGAGGAAGAGTACCGCGTAATACAGCGGTACCTCTCCGACTTAGAAAAAGAAGAACACATCAGCTGGTTCTCCTACCAGCTGCCGGCGGAAAAGAGTGTGAAGGTGGCCATCCGCGGAATACCAGCGGACACACCCGTCGAGGAGATAACCGAAGCCCTGGCGGAGCTTGGACATTGTCCAGAATATGTCCGCCAGATAAAAGCCCGCCAGGGCCGCCCGGGGTGCATTTTCTACGCACAACTGAAGCGCACCCCGGCGACCATCCCCGGCATCTATCAAACAACAGAACTGTTATGCATGCCGGGGATAAGAATCGAAGCCTGGAGGGGAAAAAAGGCCCGGCACAGTGCCATAGGTGCCAAAGCTTCCGGCACTCCTCGCACGGGTGCCACAGAAAACTTGCCTGCGTCCGCTGCGGCGAAGAGCACACGGCGCGCGACTGTCCGCGCCCCCGAGAAGAGCCTCCGACGTGTGCCAACTGTGGGGACAAGCACACGGCAAACAGCGTCTCCTGCCCGGTCTTCAAGAGGGAGATAAGAAACCGAAAGGCAGGAGCCACCGCCAGAACTCGCTCCAGATCAACGCACAAAGACCGCACAGTCCCCACAGCCGCGGACAGGGGCAACCTAATGGCCCCGGCCAATCCGGCAACAGAGCGGTCGCGGAAACCGCCTCAGAAGAGGAGAAAGAGGGGGAGGAAAAGCAGAGGCAACAGCGACAAAAAGAAAAATGCTTCCGGGTCCGCGGAGCAGGCCCCCGCACGCAGCATCTACACCACACGCCCGCCAGCGGTCGCCGCCCTCGATGCTGACGCGACAACTGATGCAGCAACTGCAGCCCCAACAAAAACCGCCGCTGCCGTACCTACAACACAGGCAGTACAGACACAAGTCGCCAGCAAGGGGAAGATGGCGAAGCGTGCTAAAGAAACCAGCACCTCCACCACCACCACCACCACCACCACCAACACAAGCACGGCAGACATGGTGAAAACTATGCTCACCATCCTGATGGAGGTGCTACTTGCGGTGCAAGCCGGATCGGACCCAGTACCGGCGATCACCGCAGGAATGGCGAGGCTGTCCAACACTAAATGGGACTAAGATTGCTGCACTGGAACGCGGACGGGGTCCGCAAGAAGACAACCCTGCTCCGGACGCTGCTTATGGAGTACCGTGTCGACGTGTGTCTCATTTCTGAGACACTACTGGGAGCTCTCGACACACTCCGCATTCCAGGATACCATGCATACCGACAGGACGAGATTACGGACGGCCAGAAGGCATATCGCGGGTTGGCTGTCCTGGTGAAAAGGAACGTAGTGCATCAACCGCTCCCCCGGGTGAATCTCACATCCATGTACGCACTCGGTGTCGAGCTATGCGTAGATAGAAGCCCCATCCGTGTGTTTGCAGTATACAAACCACCACAGAACAGGATTGCAGCTGCAGACGTCGCCGTCATCTTCGATTCGCAGCTGCCCACTGTCGCCGCAGGCGATTGGAACTGCAAACACACGGCCTGGAACTCCAACAACGACACGCCAGAAGGAAAAGCACTACTAGGGATAGCTGAGAGAATGGATATCACCGTGCTCGGCCCTGAGGTTCCAACTCACTATCCCTACATTTCAGCACATGCTCCAGACGTATTGGACTTCGCCTTATACAAAGGACTAGACAGCCGACGCAGGAAGTCCTCCTCGAGGACATCCAATCCGACCACCTGCCGGTGTGCATGGTTATTCCACAAACACCGACATTCCTGACGCCGCGCCTCCCACGCCGTCGGATCGACTGGGTAAAATTCAGGGACTCGATGGAGCACAACACGCCCATGATGGCAGTCTCAACCTCGTCTGAAGTCGAAGAACTCGCTGCTAACCTGTCAGTCTCCATACAGCACGCCATGGACATCGCAGCGCAGCCGGGACCTGTAACAAGGACCCGCGAGTGGATCCCGGCTGCCACCAGGATGAAACTAGAAGCGAAGCGCCGATTGCGTAGGGACTGGCAGTCGACACGTTGCCCCACCCTCAAGACGAGGTTGAACAAACTCGCCGAAGACATCAGGCGAGACATTGAGTCCCACAGGAAGGAAAGCTGGGATCGATTACTGGAAGACGCCGGCGACGACTGGAATAGCATCCACCGCCTATGCCGCCGGCTGTCCCAATCCCAGCCCCCGGTCCGACCACTACTGGCGAGCGATGGGACGCCGAGATACCGTGCAGCAGACCGTGCGGAAATCCTAGCCGAACACCTAGAACGCCAGTTCCAGCCGAACCCTGTTACCGATACCGAACATGCTGCCATGGTAGTCAAATACGTTGAAAACTACCTGGCTCCGCCACTAGCGCCACACGAAGACCCGGTGGTGTTTACGCCGGGACAAGTGCAGCGTGAATTAAGAAAAACGAAGCCTCGGAAGGCCCCCGGCAGCGATAATATCACGAATACGGCATTGCACCACCTGCCACCGCGCACTATAGCGGCAGTTACACGCCTGTACAATGGTATTATGCGCACAGGGCATTTCCCAAACACATGGAAGATAGGCAAAGTTATCACGCTGCCTAAGCCCGGTAAGAACGTATTGAAACCGGAATCGTACCGGCCAATCACGTTGTTGCAGCATGTATCGAAGGTGTTTGAGAGACTACTTCTCAAACACATAAACACATACATCAAGCCCAGAGAAGAGCAATACGGGTTCAGAGCTGAGCACTCCACCACCCTGCAGCTGATCAGGATACTGCACACGTTCACAACGGCCATCAACAAGAAGGAAGTCGCCGTAGCAGTATTCCTCGACATGGAGAAAGCTTTTGACAGGGTCTGGCACGACGGTCTGCTGTACAAGTTGGCCACCCAGACAGAAATGCCAAGAAGGCTCATCCAAGTGGTGGCCTCATTTCTCAGGAATCGTCGGTTCATGGTGGCGGTTGAACAAACCTGTTCGGGTGAGCGTCCCATCCGAGCGGGCGTCCCGCAAGGCAGCTGCTTATCGCCTGTGCTTTATGCGCAGTACATCGACGACATCCCAACCACGGAGCAGACTACACTGGCGCTCTACGCCGACGATGCAGCCTACGCCGCGACGTCGCTTAACAATAAGCACGCGGCGTCAAAAATCCAAACAGTATTAGATGCCCTGCCAGAATGGCTAGGAAAATGGCGCCTGTCGGTGAACGTGCGCAAGACACAGGCGATCACAGCCAACATGAAAAGGACGCCACCACAGCTACGCCTGCTCGGTTCCCCGATCGAGTGGTCCCGCACCGCCACCTACTTAGGGGTGGAAATCGACCGCCGGTTGACTTTCGGAACGCACGTCAAGAAGGTTCGCCAGAAGGCTAGAACAGCCAGGCACCTGCTGCGTCCGGTACTCGTCGGAAACCTCCCTCTCCAGATGAAGACGGGAATTTATAAAACGTACATCCGCCCGCGTCTAACTTATGCCGCGCCGGCGTGGTACGCATTCGTCAGCAAGACAAACAGAAGAGCACTAGAAGCACAACAGCACCTGACGTTGCGTACCCTGACCGGTGCGCATAAGTTCGTCAGAAACGCCACCCTGGAGAGGGACCTCAAAATCCAGCCACTGGACGCACACGTGAAAGAACTAGCGACTAGACTGTTCCAGCGCGCGGACGCATCAAAATGGGACCACCTCAGAGGCATAGCGCCTCTGCACGCTAGACCGCCGGAGATGAAGCCATATGCGCGCGAACTCACCCGCTCGCGCGAAGCAGATGAAGAAGGCACGGTCCCATAGTGTAGAAGCGCGTGGCGCCGTCGTCATGGGCCGCTCTTGCGCTGGCAGTTTGCCGGGCCTCCCCCCATGGGGTCTCACCTGGCAGGCGAAGACCGCGCCGACCGGCCCAGACGGCGCCAACAGTCTACAAGTGAACCTTAGTGCGTTCCTATGAAAACCACCGGCAAGTACCACCCCCAACTACCCTGCACATGGTAATGTGCGGCGAGAGACACCAGCAGAAGGGGGCCAACGCCCCGGGCTGCTATACCCCCCACGTCCCCTTTATACGGCTACGTGCGGAGAATACCTACGAATACCTACGAGCGGCATTCGCTTCCGAGCAGCGACACACTACACTCGAGAAGAAATAGGACAAGAAGAAAAAATACTCTCTTCAGACGGTACCGGAGGCTTCAGAATAGTAATCGCTGTGTTTCACTCCAGCCTGAACCAACGCCCCTACAGTCCACGCTCACCGAACGGCAGTCCACACCGTACAATTCGGTATCTTATTATAACATTTAATTCCTATAAAACACCTATTAACTTTTTCTAAACGATACTTTGGAAAAGCCAGTTTGTATTTGTATCTAGTGTTAAGATTATCAAGATTGCTGTTTTTAGGAAACAGTTGAAGATAAACAAAATGTTTGCGTATATGTGTTGCGAAGCTACAGTGACAATATGTGCTTCCTTAAATTAAATTATTGTTATACCGAATGAGCATACCCCCAAGTCAATCAAGTGTAATGCACGATTCGTGGGTGCGTGAGCGGCATGTCTCGTATGGGAAAGTGGTTTGTGTAGCTGTAGTAGAGGTTAAGACCTTACTTCATAGGATCATTTCTATAGTAAGTTCTTCACCCAGAAACTCGCAATATGTGAGGGCACACAGTGCTTCCTTAAATTAAATTATTGTTATACCGAATGAGCATACCCCCAAGTCAATCAAGTGTAATGCACGATTCGTGGGTGCGTGAGCGGCATGTCTCGTATGGGAAAGTGGTTTGTGTAGCTGTAGTAGAGGTTGGTGACCTACCCGAAATATCATGTGAGATACGTGTAGACACCAATATCCTTATGTTTTCAAGAATCTGCCAGTCATCTATCCTTCGATGTAAAACTGATAAATAATATCGAATGAATATATTTTTTCTCCTTATCCTTAGCGTTCCAAGATCTACAATACCCGTTACAAATAATGATCGATAAAGATAAGCTATAGTTTGTATAACTATAATATGAGTTTTACAAAAAAAATTACGTTACAACAATCAACCTTCACGTTTACGTATAATAAGTCTGTAATGAAAGCGTAACTAGGCCTCTAGTGGATGAATTCGAAACTTAAATTTCTATACATATGTAATATATATGTATGTTTACAAAGCTCAAAGTGTTCACATTCTAGAAATTTCAGGACTAACGATAGGTAATTCGATAACATAATAAAACCAATAATAAAGAATAAAACTTTAGCTGGACTATTATTGATAGACAGTGATAAAACTGATAGTTGAAAGGACGAAAGAAATAATGTTATTATTTTACATCAGCTTACATTATCTAGGGAATTTTTCATAGCACCTCAACCAAATAACGATGACCTTTTCATTCTAAATAACTCTATAATCTCCATAAGTTAATGAAGAGGTCAAACTGTACTTCTTTTTTAATGTAATCGACAATTTTTGAGTTTTTAAGTTGAGTAAAACATCTGCTCTAATTATAAAATAGACAGATATCTTAAGCATATTAGTCAATTATTTTATTTCTTTTAATGATACATACAGGAAAATATTTGTCGTCTACAAACATTCTGTACATATCACTTAACATATTGATATTTAATAGTACCTACGAAGGACCAGAGTACATGAATTATTATTCGTATATTACTTCATCATATATATAGGATTGAATGTACATTTAGGAGTTATTTCTATATAAACGTAGCCCTCTTCAAAAGCATAATATTAGAAGGATTAGCACAATCATTACCATATCAGCTGTTTATTGTTCACTGCTTAATATAGGTCTCCTACATAAGTAGGTAAGTGGCTATAGGAGGCAAAAGAACGTTTCCCTTGTGTATATAATAAATATATAATACATAATATAGAAAATAATATTTTCTTATGTACATAAAGGTATTACATTTAATCAGAATTTGGACTATTAGTGATAAGTACTGATATTGTTTGTTACCAAGGTTTCCTCACCAATTTGTATAACAAAGGCGTTTTTATATCCTGATCAAGATAATTATTATAGGTACTTTATATAAAAGTAAACAGTTTTACATATAAATAGTAATACAACAGGTATTCACGAACGCTATTGGGTGGGGGAGAAGGGATTGTTAATAATGGGATTAATAACTGGGTAATTTCACTACCATAACATAGCTATGTAAACACAAGTACAGTGGCAAAAACAATAGTTGGATAGAGGTACTACCCAATTATCACATACTTTTGTAAACTCTCTCTGGTAATAATTACAACAAATAGTAATTAAAAAATATATTTCACTAGCAATTAAATAGAGTTATTTGAAAAAAAAAAAACTTCATACCTAGCTCTTGCAATGTCTAGGTCATTGGTATTCGAAGCAAGACATTCTAGTTACCTGCGTGCATATATAACACATAAATGTTAAAACCAGTTCTAGCTCTTCTAACTGTAACGTCAGATAGTTGTGAGAAGTTACCTTACTGGTAGGTAAGTAAGCTGTAAATAAATATAAAATCCTGGAGGATTTGTAGACCACAAAATTAAAAAAAAATATTTTAATTGTTTGGCATACAAGTAGGTACCTAATTTTTTTTACAACTTAGAATGTCAAACTAGCTGACGGTCTCAATTATTTGGGATAAAGATGAATGTACTAACATTATTAATAATTTTATTAGAATTATCAAGATTTTAGGGATTAGGTTAAATACAAAACGACCCTTTTAGTTTAATATTTCGATTTCGACATTAGATGCTAGAGATTAATTAGGTTATGAAAAATACTGGCAATAATTAGGTAATTAAATTCCAAATATTACTGCATTTAAGCGTAAAGATTAATTTATCTATTTAAATTTATAATCCATGCAATCGGATATCTTAAGATTTTTCTAGACACACTTCTAACAAGGTATTTATTCGTATATCATATAATTCATTTTTATACACCTATATATTTGTATATTAGTTATTTTTTAAGATTCCGTACTTTAAAACGAAAAACGGAATTGTGATTGGCTCACTTTGTTTTCCGTCTTTCTGTTTGTCTGTCAAGACCTTTTTTTCTCAGGAACGCGTAGAACTATCAAGCTGAAATTAATATCAAATACTCAGGTCTGCAAGCTCTTGAAGCTGTTAAAAAATCGAACTAATCATTGCAATCAAAAGATACGGCTGTTTATAGCGTATATTTTGAAATTTGCAAGGGAACTCAAACCTATTGGGTACTTTTCGTTAATCTAAAATTATGAAACATGCCAAGAAGCAATGTTGTATAGCACATGTAACGGAAAAAATTCGTAAACTGTCATCTCGTACTTAAGTTATACAGAGGGAATATTTGTTTTTAACCATAACCTGTAGGGAAGTCTCTGGCACTTGGTCGATTTTCTTTTTCTCAGTACAGTTGCAAACTGTGAAACTTTGCTACAGAGTCAATCCAATTACAAAATAACAACATAATTTTGGCCACATTTATATATATTTATATAGATTTGAAATGGATTATCGCGCAGGAGAATGTTAGCTATGCTAGTTTTACAATATCTTTGGTTCTATAGATTAAAGAGATAATATTTTAATGAAGTAACGATAAAAATAATTTCGTAATCTGTTACTAATAGTATAAATAAACTTTCTCGAGACTAATGATAATAGTGATTAAGTTTAGTAGCACAAGTGACGAACCAGTAGCGCGTTGCCTACAGCAAGATGAAGTCGTGGACGCCTTTCGTAGGGGCTTCCCTTCTATTGCTCGCATTTTCAGGTGACTAAACCAACTTTCTCAGTGTGAAGTTGTTAGTTTTTGTTATAGAAGCAGTGGATTTAGTTGAGTTACCTATATAAGGATAATACATAGTGTTATAAGGGTGACGATGTAGTATCGTAAAATAATACATATGTTTAAGTTGTTCACGACGTTTTTAGTTTAAATTTTTATTCTTTTTCTTTGTCAAATATTTGTTGTATTTGGTATTTAAATTATTTAATTAGAGACTTCGAAATAAGTATGATGTTTACAAGGAAAATCATAGAAATGTGAATAGTGGTTCTAGTGGGAGTAAAACAGCAGGTTTACGTGAAAAGTGCGGTTGTATTGAAAATTTTGTATCATCTCTAACGGTAGCAGATAGGTTCGGAAAGTTATGTTAAACTTATTCATTTAAACGTAAATATAGTATGTAATAACATATATTTTTGTATAACTTACACTACTTATGTATTTGAATAAAAATTGTCATATTAAATTAAGGCAGAATTAGCAAATAGACTATACTCGTGTAAGTCTTTCACAACGGTATTACTGTGTTTATAATAAATATCTTTAATTGACTTCCAAAATGGAGGTTCTCAATTCGATTTTTTTTTATGTTTATTTGTTAACGGAGTTTTGAGGTAAAAAAACCGATTTGGAAAATTCTTTTCTATTTAAAAAGATATACTTACATATTCGTCCAAATAATAATAAATTTTATCGAACTATTAAATAATTTAGTTTTTAAATCAAAATATCTGAATTTATCACGATTGAAGACGGTATTTGTTTTTGTGGAAAAAATCTACTTGTTATGTTTAAATATTAATAAAATATCTTATATACTTAGTATTTTGATAAATCGCATAACTGTCAATGAATAATCAATCAAGTCAATGAATAATATGTATCATATACTTTATATAGTAGTAAATATAATTACAAACAAATCTTCCATAGGGGAGGAGGTCTCGCCACATGTAACAATATCTCAACAAACGGAGAAAAAACATCTCCGAAAATGGCTTTATAGGCTTTTCCAAACATAATGCAAGTCACAATAACTTTTAAGAGACTCGGAAATTGATTTTAAAACTATAAAGGTTCAGGTTGCTTTCGTTTATTTTGAGATTCCGGACCGCAATCGAACGTTACCTGATTACTCGTATGTGCAGACCAGTTGTATTCAGTAGTTACTTACAATTTAAAAAGGATTGTTCCTTTGTAACCGACTTAAAAAGACTCTTTACTCGGTTACATTGTTTTATGTTCGTTATCTCATAACTCCATCATCATCATCATCATCTTCCTACCCTTATCCCAATTAGTCGGCGTAATGTTTTTATCCATATTACAAAAAGATTTGGCTTATTATTTTACAACCGGCCGCCTGCCTGACGTCAACCCTCTTTGGGACTTTGGGATCTCATAACTCCATTAGTTATAAATTGATTTGGAAAATACTTTTATATCTACAAGGAATATACTTACATATAGATCCTATAGAGACTATCAAAATCAGTTAAGAAGTTTAGTTCTGAAATAAAAATAAGTAGTTTTACCACAATTGAAGCCAGTTTTTTTTTTGTAGTATACAATCTTAATCGTGTCATCATACACGATAGTTAATTGAGGCAACTGTGATGCGTCAATCAAACAAGACAGTAGCACAGTTTATGAAGGCTAGATGGGGATTGCAACTCTGCCATACGCATTATACATAACGTCTTTCCCTCTTATAGTTAGGTTATCTTTTTTTTTTCATATTTATCTTCTCTCTTTTTATTATATTTATGTTGCTAACAATTAAAGTATATACATTTTTTTACAGTCGAAGGAGAAGAAAATGGATCAAACAGTGGTTTGTATTTTTACCGTTTATTTTTTCTTAAAGTTTATGAATGCGCAATAGACTGTCGAAATTAAATAGTGAAAAAATGATAATTAAAGAGACAATATCTAAGAGCTGATCTGATGATGAAGGTGAAAAATTGTAAAGCATCAGAATGTCCGCTATGATTAATAAAGTAGATTTTTAAAATCGTTTCAGACACCAAACTATTGAAAAGATTAAAAATTAATTATTCATTTCAGACATTTTACATGAAATCGTTCATAGGACAAAAAGAGACGCAAACATCGACATATCACTAAGTAAAATATCTCATGAAGAAACATGTAACATTATCACTCCAAACGGCGAAACGGTGTTGGCAGAGAACGTTAACATCCCAGGAGTAACAGTCCGCAATAGCAGTTATTTTGTTTCCTGCAGGATCACTATAGGACCCATAAATGAATCTCTTTTAGGCAACTGGTCACTATGTGGGGAATATAAGGATAAGAATGAACCTCATAAGAGATGTCAACCAGTCAGTATCTCCTGGTGTAAGTAACTTGATGCTATAGATGTCTCTAAACATTTGTCTTTGTTCCTCAAATTTTGCAACAAAACCTAATAACTTTCTATAATTTAGTTGTTATCCCAAATCGTATATAATTTTAAAAATATTCTTACTGACCTAAACATCTAATTATTGCATTTTATCTTAGAGATATTTATTTATTTATTTAACACTTTATTGCACCAACATAACATGATTTGTTAAAACAATTTTCAATACGTATAGTGTAGTACAAAAGGCGGTCTTATTGCTAAGCAATCTCTTCCAGACAACCTTTGGGTAGAAAGAATTAAAGCATAAGTAGGTAGGTGGCGCGTTAAAAAAGAAAGAGATACTGAAGCTTGCATTAAAATTTAAAACATATAATGGCATTATTTGCCATTGATTTGCTCAGTTTCCACCTGATGGAAAGTACAGTCATAAACAATTCTGTTATGACTATGGTATTACTTTTGCGTTGCTATTTATGAGGCTATATTCTTAGTCTCTATACCCTGTAATTTCTTTGCCATATCCTTTTATTCTTTTAAACCGAAATATACTCATGAAAACAGTGGAACAGATGTATTCTTGTGGATGATTTTGTGCAAAGTTTACCTCTGATATGTACATTTACTAGCAACCCTCCCCGGCTTCGCACGGATTCTTTACAGCAAATATAAAATAGCCTATGTTACTTTGAGGAGATGTAGCTTTCGGTAAAATTTTGGTAAAGTATTAAAATTGATATAGTATGTTATCCTTAAGAGATACACACGATGCCATCGCGGACTTTTCTGTAGACCTATATAAGATACACATTTCTATTATACATTATTTTGTTATATCTCAATAGGTTTAGACAGCTTCTTCGTTGAAAGCTCACAGACGGCTTATTTTTTTCCGACACCTCCAACAAATATCGTTCTATGTTAGCCAATATATACAAAAATATAACATAATTATATAATAAAATCTTCTTCGAGAACCACTCTATTCATTGGTAAAAACAGCATGAAAATCGGTGCAGTAGTTTTTGAGTCTGTTGTGAACAAACAGACAGACAGACAGTTGTGGTGGAGGACTTTGAGTTATAATATGTAGTATTTATAGTACTACTCGTGTATGAATATCGCCCTCTGAAGTTAATAGTTTTCAAAGTGCTACTGGTGTTTAAAATTGTAGGATACCATAAAAATAGAATAAATTTTATAGTAAAATTTTTAATACAAAAAATTCCAATTACCATGATGCTGAAGCAACGGAAGAAAAGATTGTTAGTAATGGATTCTAGCGACCATGGGGTCCAGCGCCCCCAATACTAGCAATATACTTTCTCAGGCCGACCTTTTTGCAGTCCCTTTGGAACCCATTATAGTTTTCATTCTGGTGAATCTGTTATGCTAGGTAAATTAAGCTAACTTCATTCTCATCTATCATCCCTCACTGCTACTTCGATAACACAGACAAATTTAAAATTCCACTTTCATTTTTTAATACATATTAAAAGTAAAGTAATATTATATAAAATATTTACAGACAATCCTAACAATTCGTCTCAAACTTGGAACTTGTGGCCCGAACCAAAAAGCGACTATGTCGTTTCCTATGATGGCAATTTGTCACCTGTCCTAACTGGGTCTGGTACTGTGTCAACTTGTCACGCTGTAACACCTAATGGGGAAGAACTAGTCATAACTGCAGACACAGATTACCCTGGTTTAACCCGTGTTGGAACGAATGAAGCTTGCAATTTCAATATAGGTCCTATTAACAAATATTATATTGGAGATTGGAAATTGTTCGGACTGTTTAATTCACCTTTAATGGGATTAATTGAAGTGTCACGTCCAATGCACTTGTTTCTTTATGGTAAGTTTTCTTATTACACATGTGCATGCGACTTCGTTCGCGTGTCCAATTAATATTAATATATATATATATATATATATATATATATATATATATATTGTCCTACAACAATTGAAATTAAAAATATAATTTTGTTACAGATGAAGAGAATCCTTACAGTCAAGCTTACAATGTAACTAATGAAGATCAAGTCACTTATATTATTAATTTAGGTAGCACTATTATCGAAGAAATAAATGGACGGGGCAATTTAGCAACAGACGATTGCCAAATAATTAGTTCATTTGGCCAAAAATATTCTATAAGTGATAGTAAAGAACTGGATCCTGTCGTGTTTAAAGATGTAGGTTCAAATATAGCCTGCCGAGTAGCTATTGGTCCCATAACAGAGGAAATGCTCGGTAAATGGAATTTTAGTGGAAAGTTCAGCAACAGTGATACTTTTACTGAAAGACGACGTGTTATTGAAATAGTGAAGGAAGGTAATTTTTTTATTTCTTTTCAAATTATTTATTTTATTTACTATTTTATTTTTCATATGATGAAACGTTTTTACTTTTAAATATTTAATAGAACCATAAAATGAACATTACTTTTTCCATGTTGTACTAAAAGATCATTAATTTCTCTGTTATTATATTTTTGTTTATAGACCCAGCAAATCCTATTATTGATGAAAATAGAATTGTAGATATTTTAGACACACAATTTTTTAATACCTCAATCGGTGCAAGTCATACAATACTTATTAAGGACGGTAATACTAAGGAAAGCTGCCACTTAAGAACGCCCGCAGGCTTGCAGTATACTATTATGGAAGGTTTTAATATTCCTGGAATAGAAGTAATAGAAGACGATCCTGATGTCACATGTGGTATTACTGTAAATGTGAAAAGCGAGGATTTAATTGGAGAATGGATATTAATTGCCAGAGTGTCAAATTATTTTGAACGTATAGAAAGAAGGCTTCCTTTCATTGTTTATGTAGAAGGTAGGTGATTAAAAGATTATAAGTATTTAATATACATTAGATAGCTTTTTATATGATTATATGCAAGTATGTCCTATACACATGTATTCTATCACGTCGATAACTAATTATCAGATTGTTATAGATAAATTAATTTTAAGTCAACTGATATTATTACAATTGTTGATTATTATTTATTATATTAATGTAATATTATATATTCAGGTGTAATAGATTCATTATTTATTATTTTAATAGATTTCACCATAGGGAGACTTTGTACAAAAGTCGTTTGTTTAGGCACCTCTGTTCCATTCATGTTTCTAGTGTGAAGCAGTTGTGTTGACATGGCTGTGTTTCGGTTTGAAGGGTGGAATACGGCAGTGAATTTACAGGTTACAGAAAAATAACACCTGAGTCCTCAGGAATGGCAACGAATAGGAATATCATGGATGAAACATATATTCTGTTATGTCCATGGTACGGTTATCACTTTCCATCAGGTGGGTCGTCAGTTTGTTTGCCATTCTAAATTACATAAAAAAATTAATAATAAATAACCTTATTACTCCTTTTTATTACTAATATATAATAAGATGTGAATACATGTGAATACCAATGCAAATAAAAACCACATCTAAATTCACAAGTTTCAAACTAAAATCTTATAGCGTCAAGCCGTTTGTCAATCAACAATTTGTTGTCAGTCAACAATAGTAGACTAATATCGTCCACTTAAATGGCGGAAAACCTTACCCAACAGTGGAACGATCGTAGGTTGTAATGATAATTATAAAATTATCTATTTATAAAATTTCAGAGATAGTGCGAGCAATACCTCAAGAAGTCACAATAACTGAAGGCAATACTCTTTATTTGCGTCTGGAGAAACCAACAGAACTTAAGGATTCTTGTGTACTTTATGGACCAAACCACAATTTAACTGATTTTGAAACAGACAGATATTATAATGATAAATGTGGATTTATCATCAAAGATATAGAAAAATCTGATGATGGGATGTGGGAAATACGATATGGAATGGGTATCAAATACAGGGCTTTCATCGATGTAATCGTTATAGGTAAGAATTAACACATGAAATCACTTAAGTACTTTTGGTCTTCTGGTGACGGATTAAAAACATAATGTGTTACTACTCATCTATCTCCAAAGTTAGCGGAGGAAGAGAAAAAAATTGAAATGAAACCCAATAAATATGTTAAATTTACCATAATCATCATCCTCTTTCCTTTTTCCTACATCTTTCTCTTAGGAGGAGAGTTGACTTGACAATCAGTGAGAGTGATTTGTTAGAATGTTGTTAAAACCTTAAAATAAAAAAATGCGAACATTGTTATTTTAGCTTCGTGGAACAAAACAATTGACAATTTAGAATTTATTAAAGATAGACCTATTAAAGCAATAATAGGACCAAAAAACGCAATTTATTGCAAACTTGAAGATCCCAGTGGCCGTATTGTATATGATAATTTTGGAAAGTGCACTATTGAATTGGAAAAAGTAACAAAACAGCACAATGGTAGATGGATTATGACTGTGGGATTTCCAGGAAAAATAATTGCAGAAGAGTATTTTTTTAATGTGAAAATAACTGAAGCAGGTAGTATAATTATTTTATAAACTAATTTATTCTATATTATAATATTTTGAGTAGTTTAATATTTTGGTCTCACATTACAAGGTTTATTCTATTCTTTTTTTGACTCTTAATATTTGTAAACAAAATAGAGTGAGGATAATTTGAATACCAATTTACCTATAACCATTAGTTAGCAGACTAAAATAATGTATCGTAACATAACACTAATAAACAAAAAAATGAATATTATGTAAAAATAATTACTTCTATCTTGACTATTTTATTATGCTTAATATTATACTATATTTAATTTGAGGATTCAGAAGTAAATCTTATTGATTTCGAAACGATAAATAATTTTTAGTTCAGTATAGGTGAAGAAGTGTTGTAACAAGGTTACAAAAAATACAGACGAATTGCGAAGCCCTTCTGTTTTGAAAATCACTTAAAAATGTCTTTCAATAACTTAAGAAACTATATTATTGAATGTTGTAGAACGAAAAGCCATAGTGACCACCTCAATTGAGGAACAGAAACCGGAAGTGATTTTGACTTGTTCAGTACCGACTGAATATGAAGTGAAAACATGCAAGTTCCGCAAGCCATCTGGACGGGTTCTCCTTGCTGTTGAAGGGGTGGGAGAGAGTGGATACACTTTCCATGGGGTAGGAACAAGGTAAAGATTTAAACTGTTACTATTTTAAAAAATGTTCTCGTCAATTTAATAATAGAGACATTCAAATCGATCAGAAAAATTATTGATATGTACCTACACAAACGATATATATGTATCTTTTGGAAAATACACTTTACATCCGGAGGAGATAAAAAAAACATTGCTATAAAAGAACATCTTAAAATTCCTTTTACTGATAGGAATTAGCAGCGAAAATAAAGGACGAGTACAAAAGATCATGAAAAAATCGTAGTGTCACAGGAATTACTGCTTGAAAAACCCGTCTCTCAAAGCAGATGCGCACCTAATACGAAGTCGAATCACTGTCTGCATGGTTACGTCCGTCTCACTCGTATTTTTGTCGTGAAACAGCTGCGCTTGCATGGCTGTGTTTGAATGGTGGGATATGACAGTGAAATTGCAGGGAACAGAGGTATAACATCTTACTAATGGGATGGAAAGGGATGGTTAAAAATGGGGATTAGCGACCCTATTACTGGCAATATACTGTTTCGACCTCCTCGTGATTTCCCTTGGAAATTATCGTAATTGATTCGTTATTGAATTTGTCACGATTGGCTATCTGACCTGCTTCATCTTCACTTATCATCCCTCACTGGTGCCCGCCAGTATTAATCGATAGTGCAAGCGGGCACACTATTTCATTATCATCCATTAAAAAAAATAAATCTTAGTACTCAAGAATGGCATATAATAGTGTATTCTATGGGCATATAGTGTATTGACCCATTTTAATTTTAATGTAGTAAGTAAATTGTCGAATAATGCATGTAGCTGCTTCATAGGTATTGTATATTATACCTAAATATTGTATGCTTTTATAGCAGGTCATGGATATACTATTTCATTGGGCTAATACTCTAACCTGACTTATGATCCACAATAAAGACATTTGTATTTTGTAATATTTATGGTGCTACTCACATCTATAGACGACGCTTACCACTTTTATTCAGGAGGGCCGTCCGCTTATTTGCCAATCTTAGCATCATAAAAATCAATTAGTCAATGAGATCTTAACTTTCTGTCAAGACTATTTGTCACTTTGCTATATTGTTCTAAACTCAAATACGTTTTTCTTTTCTAGTATGGAATCTGCAATTAGAATTCACGAATGTGGACTAAGAATTTCAAACCTTCAATCTGATGATTTAGGAATATGGCGATGCGCTGTTCAAACTGCAAACGATACATATTATGGTTTTCTGACAGTGCTATATTCTTGGGCTCTGCAAGATTCTGAAGTCACTGCCCCTATTATAATAGGTAAGGGCACCGGCTTGATAGAAAACTACTCCATTTTTTCAATGGTAAAAATTCTCTGAGTTTAACATCAAATAAACATAATATGGTGTAAGCTACATTATATTTAATAGTCACTTGTTACTACGGGGTAAACAGAGCGTCAGGGAAAATTTGATGCAAACCTCTGATCACTATATATATTGAAATTTAATTAGATTTCTTCAGATATCCGCAGCCTTCTCCCCTTCATATTTGTAAATCGTTATCCTTACTAATATTACAAATGTGAAAGAAAATTTTTTTTGTTACCTCTTCGTACCTTCATACCTTAATATAATAACTTTATAATAAAGATTTATTATAAAACGGAACACCATGATTCATACAAATATTTTTGTGTTTCAGAACCGAATCTTATCACAACTCATCGTAGTGTCGATGTTTTACAAGGCGACACGGTGACCATGTCTTGTTCAATACAGTCTGCTATCGAGTATTGTTATTTTAGAGCGCAAAATGGAACTATCTTCAATCTTTCACCCGGTATGTCGCTTAATATTTCAATGATTGTGAGATAAATGTATGGGGTCCTACAAAAGGGTGTAATAAACTTTCTTCAGACATGTGACACCCCTGGTGTTTCAAGCTATAAGCAATAAACAAGTCCATTTTATGACAAATATTTATAATTAACTAACGGGTGAAATGACAACACTACCATTAAATATACAATATTTAAAAAGAAACTAAAAAGATGGCTATCAGAAAAATATTTTTATTTTAATTATTTTTAATCTAGAATATAATGTGACGCAATTGACTGGAATATTTTTATTTTGTTTAATCATGTATTATGTATTAATAAGTAAAAACGGTTTTGCTTGTGTCCATAGCTTAATTAAATGAATTTTGTATGCCAGATACTGGTGAAAAGTGTGTACATACTATCCTTTTAACCAATTTTCATGCAAAATAAAATTATTTGTATTTGTACAGGCCACAGTGAACTTTTACATCAGACAGGCTACATAGTTGTATGCCACATTCGTAGTAAAAAAATTAAGGATAAGCTTTATAAACTTATATCCGAAGCAATGTCCCATAATTTACATGGGTCGACTACAGTAACCGCTTGCCATCAGATGAACATACGGTCTACGCGATGGCAAGCTTATTTTTAACTATACCATTTAGTTATGAAAAGTTTTATCGCATGATGATGTATGCTCGTTGTGGACTTGTATTACAAATTACTTTTAGCCACAAACCGTTAAGCTTGGAGGGAAAGGATTGTTAGCAATGGAGTTTGACAGTCCCATTGCTAGCAATATACCTTATTAGGTCGACCTCCACGTGGTTCCCCCTGTAAACCATCGTGAACAATTCTTGTTAAATTCGTCACGATGGGCTAACTGACCTACTTCATCCTCACCTATCATCCTTCACTGGTGCCCCACCGGTGTATACCGATAGCGCGGGTGGGGTTACCATTCCATTATCATCCATTTAAAAAAACCGTTAGCTTATATTTTTAT